AACCCAGGGGTGGTCTGTGCCCGCGCATTGGGCCAACCACGGCCCCACCCCTTACACGAGCACGACTGGCTGAAAGCCGCCGTTTCAGGAAGGGCGCCCAAGGCCCGCCCTCCGGACGACGGATGCCCCCTGAAGAATCCCGCCGGAGGAGGAGGAAAGAAAGAGGAGGTTTCAGCTCACCCCTCGGACGAATACCTTCCAAAGCAAAAAGTCGTCTCGCTCGCGAGAGCTCCTTCGCGCGACGTGGAGGTGCGCCCAGGTGACCAACGAGTTCGCCACCGCTGATCAGATCACCAAGGAGGGTAAGACCCCTGACTTTATGGACTCGCAGTACGAGAAGGTGTACAGCAAGAAGACGTCCGGCCGCCAAGAACCAGGTTATCACCGACGTGGGCTTCCGCACCGAGAAGCCGGAGCGCTTCTCGCGTGACTTGGAATCGTCGCGCGGTGGACGTGGCAACCGTGGTGGCCGTGGTGCTCGTGGCAACGACCGCACTGGTGGCCGTGGCGCCCGTGGCGCTAACGTCCCGAACGTGACGGACATGAGTGCTTTCCCCAGCCTCGGCTAAGGGATTGCGCTGCGACCAACCGGAATCGCGCGCCCTTGAGCGCCAGCGACATGATGAGTGAGATCTTCCAAAAGAGGCGCTTCTCGAGGACTGGTTTGGCTATCTCTTTTCTCCTTTTTCCTCCCACGAAAGATCCACCGGATAGGGCCTCTGCGCGGCTGGTGTCTGCCTGACTGTGTGTATCTCCCTCCTGCAAGCAGCCAGCCGTCGTGCGGAAAGTTAGAGAAATTTTTGTTAGCGTGAACTCGGTCTTCTCTTTGGTATTTCTATTATTCAATGCAGCAGGCTGGGCTTTATGCGAACGAAAATATCGATGTTGTCATCCACGCGAGTTGCGTTGTTTCCCAGTATCTGATCAAGTGGAACTTAACAAGTATCAACACACAACATGTTACGGTGTCCTGCACTACGACACTCCTGTCGTGCATTACTCAAACTTTTCGTAGAGTGCAGTAGCAGCCCTAGGACGGCGCGGTGAGCCGCCCGATAAAGAGATGCTTACCACTGGTAATTAGTTTTCCTCGTTTGAACACTCCAACCTCAAATGGAGGCCTTTCTTCAGGGATCCCATCGTCACCGTCGTTATCTTCCCCGCCTTCTTGGAATCCCTCCGCGTTCAAGGGGTTAAACATCGCTAAAACTTCACTTTGAAGGAAGGAGGTAGCCTTCTTGAGCTACCATGTGGATTCTGTAAACAACGCTCTAAAAAATATACAATTCGACCACTAGAGCGTTTAAACTTATTACGGCACACTAGTACACTTTGCCCTTTAAAAGAAGGCTTTTATCTGGGAGGACAGTACCTTTGCCGTTTGTTGCGAAGGTGAATACAGCGTAGGGGCAAGTGCATCACACACATAGCTATTGTTTTCTCCTCAAAAATGCTGGGAAAGCAAAGGTGCGGTGGTATGGTAGTGGCCACTTGTTGGTGAGAAAGCCACATATATTCTGTGAGCATTTAACACGCTGTCTCCGCTACCTATCTGCTCAGGACCATGTTGGGCACCTGAGTCCCTTTGCTCTTCTCAGCGTGCACTGGGCTGCGCCACACTTCGCTGTATCGATAAATCTCTGAGTGGCTTACGATGGCAGTGTTTTCCCACGATGGATCATTCCTGTAAATGACAAAGCTAATTATCTCCAGACTCTGAATATAACGATTTGGATTCCAGAGTTTTTACAGAGGTGCGACTCCACCTAAAATAAATAGATACGACTATTCTCGAAAAAAGTGGAAATTCAAAATTACACATAAACTATGCTGTAGAACTTGATGTTACTATTATATCAGAGTGACGCCAGGAATGCTTAAGCAAAAATGCACTTTCAAATTAGATGAAGAGGCTACCAACGCAAATAAAGAATTCTGCCAGGTATATATTGCACATTAATAGCCGAATCAGTGAAAAAGAGCGTGAATGTTGTTTGTGTAGCCGATTCACTCAAGACGATGTTGCTTGAACTAGGTAAATATTTCTTTTTGTGAATGGCCCTTCCGGGAAATCAGTGACTGCATGCCAAGCATTACCGAAATATCAGCCTTTGCGAAGCTCTGGAGATCTTTAGGGAGCGAGCTGCAATCAAGAGCGGGTTGAGGAACAAACCAATTCTCAAGATGATGTTGCTTGAAGGGTAAATGTTTCATTTGTGAATGACCCTATTGGGTAATCAGTCACTGCATGCCAAACATTCAGCCTTTGCGAAACTCTAGTGATGCTGCGCTTCCGTTAACATCCAGAGCTTCCCCGCGCAAGGCGTGGTATTAGTCAAAGTTGGAGATCCTAAGGGAGCGAGCTCCAATCAAGAGCGGGTTGGAGTCGGTCGTGCACAGGACGCCACTTCAGATAATTTTTATAACATGGTATTGTTTGAGTATATATAGGAAACATTAGCCTTCTCAAATGGTATTTTGTAGGGTATTTAAGATCGCAGTGTTGCCTCTACTTTTGCTCATCGATCCCTTGCGCGCGGTCGGTGTCAAAGTGAATCAAGTACAACACTCTATGGCGTCCCAATCGTATTGTGACCAATTGTGGGTTTAAAATGGCCAGGCAAGACGTAGTGTTGATTGGAAGTTCGCGTCGTTAAAGGGAACCTTTGGTTCCCCAAAATCTGCCGTATTGAGAGCGGCGCGAGCTTCGTCCGTAAGTTGCTCCCACATGATGAGATCGGGATATTGACCATCAGAATACGAATTGGATAGCGCCAGCCAGTT